GCCCCGCCCCGCCCCGCCCCGCCCTTTTGTGTAACTATCTCTATATCTATCTGGTTTATCTGTTTTTCTGACTATTTATATATCCGTCTGTAGGTTCTCCATACACACTCTCACACTTACACACCTGCAAATATTGTACAGTTGTGGGACATCCTGGCGCCATCCCAGACCTAAACACCTGTATTTCTCTCCCCCAACACACACACATTCTCTCTCTCTCTCTCTCTCTCTCTCTCTCTCTCTCTCTCTCTCTCTCTCTCGGCCTCGTAACAATTTGATGAATGTTCGTGTACGTGAATCTGCCTGTATACATATCTGTGTGTATCTGTGTGTGTGTGTGTGTGTGAAGGTACTAGTATACGTGTGTGTGTGTGTGTGTGCGTAATTGTGTACGTGCTGGTATGGCCGTACACAACCTGAACGCACGACGCACCACGGACTCGGGTCAAGGCTCTAGCAGAGGTGTTGTGTCAGCTGCTGTGTTAAGCTCACCTGTTGATGATACATGTTTTATGTCTATCCATGCGTCCGTCCGTCTCTCCATCCATGCGGCCGTCCGTTTAACCATCCATGCGTCCGTCCGTCTCTCCATCCATGCGTCCGTCCGTCTAACCACCCATCCGTCGTCTCCATCCATGCATCCGTCCGTCCAACCATCCATGCATCCGTCCGTCAACCATCCATGCATCATCTCGTCCAAATCCATCCATGCGTCCGTCCGTCAACCAATGCCGTCGTCCAACCATCCATGCGTCGTCCGTCAACCATCATCCATGCATCCATGTCGTCCAACCATCCGTCCAACCGCGTCCGTCAACCATGCGTCCCATCCATGCGTCCGTCGTCCAACCATCCATGCGTCCGTCCGTCCAACCATCCATGCCGTCCGTCCATCACCGTCCGTCCGTCCAACCATCCATGCATCCGTCCGTCCAACCATCATGCGTCCGTCCGCCAACCACATGCGTCCGTCCGTCCAACCATCCATGCGTCCGTCCGTCAACCATCCATGCGTCCGTCCGTCCAACCATCCATGCTCCGTCCGTCCAACCATCCATACGTCCGTCCGTCCAACCATCCATGCGTCCGTCCGTCCAACCATCCATGCGTCCGTCCGTCCAACCATCCATGCGTCCGTCCGTCCAACCATCCATGCATCCGTCCGTCCAACCATCCATGCGTCCGTCCGTCTTGTATTACCCATCTCTTCTTAACTTGTTACTGAAAATATTGTTCAGTAGTTAAAGAGTCTCGTGTAATGTTGACGCCATAAGACATAATGACCTGGATACTCCTCAATAATACACAAAATGGCGGTGGTATTGCTCGTGACTGTATTTAAGGAGTGTGTGTGTGTGTGTGTGTGTGTGTGTGTGTGTGTGTAGGAGGCGGGGGAAGAAGGTAGAGAATGTGTAAGTAAAGGTGACCAACTCTTACCTGTGACTCATCTTAGCCTCCTTCCTCCCTCCCTCCCTCCCTCCTTCCCTCCCTCCTCCTTCCCTCCCTCCCTCCCTCCCTCCCTCCTTCCCTCCCTCCTTCCTCCCTCCCTCCCTCCCTCCTCCCTCCTTTCTTCTTCCTTATTTTATCCCGGTGTGTAGCTATCGGCACGTTTGTCTGACCGTGATGGATGGTGTGTGTGTGTGTGTGTGTGTGTGTGTGTGTGTGTGTGTGTGTGTGTGTGTGTGTGTGTGTGTGGTTTTGTGTGTGTGTACGTACATAGACGCCCAGTATGACGTGTACTTGATGATCTTATAGAGATTTAGGTTGTGCATATATTACACCTGGTAGAGTAAGCAGGTGAACGGGAGGAGGGGGACATAGTGAACCTTGTGGGGTGAGGAGAGAGAGGAGGTGCAGGGGTGAGGGAGAGAGGAGGGCAGGGGTGAGGAGAGAGGAGGGCAGGGGTGAGGAGAGAGGAGGGCAGGGTGAGGAGAGAGGAGGGCAGGGTGAGGGAGAGAGGAGGGCAGGGGTGAGGGAGAGAGAGGGGCAGGGGTGAGGGAGAGAGGAGGGCAGGGGTGAGGGAGAGAGGGCAGGGTGAGGAGAGGAGGGCAGGGGTGAGGGAGAGAGGAGGTGCAGGGGTGAGGGAGAGAGGGAGGGCAGGGGTGAGGAGAGAGGAGGGGCAGGGTGAGGGAGAGAGGAGGGGCAGGGGTGAGGGAGAGGAGGGGGCAGGGGTGAGGAAAGAGGAGGGGCAGGGTGAGGGAGAGAGGAGGGCAGGGGTGAGGGAGAGAGAGGAGGGGCAGGGGTGGAGGAGAGAGGAGGGCAGGGGTGAGGGAGAGAGGAGGGCAGGGTGAGGGAGAGAGGAGGGCAGGGGTGAGGGAGAGAGGAGGGGCAGGGGTGAGGGGAGAGGAGGTGCAGGGGTGAGAGAGGAGGCAGGGGTGAGGGAGAGAGGAGGGCAGGGGTGAGGTACGAGAAGTCAGTCCTTGATAGTGTTATTTACCAGCGTGTGACCTCCAAGGTACACACACACACACACACACAGTGAGGGCTTTAAAAAGAATGAATCATGAAGATTAGATGCCCTTCGTTTATCAGCCCATGAATAAACACACTAACCTAACTTAACTATACTTGTAAGGACGTGTGTTATTATTATTATTATTATTAGTAGTAGTAGTAGTAGTAGTAGTAGTAGTAACAGAAGTAACAGAATAACAGTAACGATGTCATTCTCGTTATACTGCCACCAGGAAGGCAGGAAGTGTTGTTGTGTACAGTTCAGTGAGAGCTGCTGAGTTTGCTGGCCCTCCAAGGTGATCTCTGTACAGTATTGCGTCTTGAGGGAGAGAGGGTGGGAGAGGGAGGGGTGGGATGGGAGGGGTGGGAGGGATGGATGGGTGGGGAAGGGAGGGTGGGAGAGTGGAGGGGAGGGGAGGATGGACGGTAAGGGAAGGGAGGGTAGGAGAGTGAGGGAGGGAAAGAGTGTGGAAGATCAACCACCACATTGCACATTAACATATTGAAGCCAGACATTACATCTGAGTGGTGTGTGTGTGTGTGTGTGTGTGTGTGTGTGTGTGTGTGTGTGTGTGTGTGTGTGTGTGTGTGTGTGCGTGCCATTTTCACCACAACCACAACACCACTTCACCACCATTACACCATCACATCACACTACCATACCACACACCACAACACCACCACAACGTCACCACAAACATCATCACAACATCCTAACAAGATAAAGTTACAATATCACTACAACATCCACCCCCAACCCATATCCATTTCATTCCCGATAAATTAAGTTCCAGAAAGAT